CTCATTTTGAAGCATTTTACTAACTAAACTGAGATTTGACAGATTCTGAGCTTCAAAATAAGCTTAAACACGACTAGGCTCCACCCACTTCAACCGCACGCGACGCACGACCGCGACGCGCCCAAAAAGTCGAAGTGGGCGGAGCCTAGTCCTGTTTGGACTCATTCGAAAGCTGAATACGTGTTAAATTCAAATCATTCAGTTTTTTTTTGCTCTGAAAAGAGCCCAAACACGACTAGGCCCCGTCCATTCTGAAATTAGGCCCCGCCCACTTTTAGGGATCCTAGGATGAGCGGAGCCTAGTCGTGTTTTGTGCTCATTTTGAAGCGCTAAATTAGCTGATCAAGAAATATCGATAAAAAATACAAATTTCAGAATCTCATGGCAACGAATCGTCCTTGATCAAATGACAAACAGAAGTGACACAGGATATCTACGATATCTAGAAGCAAAGAGAGCTGAAAAACAGGAAAAGTGAGTTGGGGAAATTTATGCTAAGCAATATTAATTTTGCCTTGTCAAGAGCTTCAAAATGAGCCTAAACACGACATGGTTCCGACCACTTTCAATTTTTAGGCGCGTCGCGGTCGTGCGTCGCGTGCGTATGTAAAATTTCAAAGTGTGCGGAGCCTAGTCGTGTTTAGGCTCATTTTAAAGCTAAGAACGTGTTCAATCCAAGTAAATTGGAAAGAGAGCTCAAAAAAAGTATGCCCAAACACAGCTCAAAGAACAACTGGAATTGGAACGTCAGGAGCACATCAAAACGTAAGTAGTGGAAATTTTAGGATTTTTGCATTTTTTCTGGAAAACCAGAAACTGTATTCTATAATTACATACGTCGTTTGATTTGTCTTCTCAAGAGCTTTAAAATGAGCCCAAACACGACTAGTCTCCGCCCACTTTGATTTTGCGAGCACGTCGCGGTCGTGCGTCGCGTGCGCATGCAAAAATTCATAATAGGCGGAGCCTAGTCGTGCTTAAACTCATTTTAAAGCTGAAAACATGTTTGATTCAAAATCATTGTGATCAAAGCTTCGAAACAAGCCCAAACACGACTAGGTGCTGTTCCATTAGGAAGTTTGGGGCCTCTAAATGTGGGCGGAGCTAAAATTCTGGATTACTATTTATTTTTCAGTCAGCAAACTGCGTCAATCGACGCGGAAAAGATAGGTCTTGTAATAGGAAACAAAGAGCAAGCACAAAAATGGTACATTGAATCCCAGGAGCACCATAAAACGTAAGTTTTAGAAATTTTGAGTTTTTCTTCCAGAAAACCTGATGTATTCTTTAATATTTCTAATTCTCATTGGATTTGTCACAAAAAGAGCTTTAAAATGAGCCCAAACACGACTTGGCTCCACCCATTTTGAGTTGTCTGGTGCGTCGCGGTCATGCGTCGCGTCGCGTGAACTCGGAATGAGCGGAGCCTAGCCGTGTTCGGGTTCATTTTGGAGCGATTGACTATTCAAATTCAAATTCGACAGTTTCCAAGTTTCAAAATGATCACCAACACGACTAGGCTCCGCCTATTCGATACGCACGCGACGACAACCGCAACGCACCCGAAAATTCAAAGTGGGCGGATCCTAGTCGTGTTCGGGCTCATTTTGGAGCTCAGAATCTGTCAAATCTCAATTTGGTTTATAAAATGCTTTGAAATGAGCCCAAACTCGACCAAACTCCGCCCATTTTGAAAATTCACATATGCACGCGACGCACGACCGCGACGCGTTCAAAAAACCAAAGTGGTCGGAGCCCAGTCGTGTTTGGGCTCATTTTGAAGCTTATAACAAGCCGAATGCAAATTTGAAGTTAAAAACTCAATAATTTTATGATTTTTTTTCAGAAAATCAGAGCTTCAAGAGTGCCGAGCTACTATTGTGGACTACGAAAAACGGTTTTCTGCTCAAGGGTTATGGTGGAAGAATTGTTGAGAATGTCAATTACGGCAAATGTTCAAAAAGTAAAGGAGGCGGAGTTTCAGAAGCTTCGAGAAGATTTGGAAAAGGCCCGGTCGGATCTGTTTGAGATGGATTTGGACCGGAAGGAGAAGACCATGGAGCTGGAAGCGGCCAAGAAGACAATTGAAGGCGTCAAATCGGACATGAAGAAGGTTTTGGAGAAACTTTGAAACTTTTTTTTTTTGAAAATTTGTTTTTTCAAAAATTGTTACCTTCCTGTTTTTTGTATCCAAAATCCTTGTCCCTTTAAAATTTTTATGAAAATCTATTTTAAAATATTATCTGATTTTTCAAAAAATTATTGTTCCCCCCCCCCCTTCCCCTTCTCCATGTTTTTCCAATTCTTCGAAAATTGAAATTTTTTGAATTTTTGAATTTTTCAAGTTTTCAGAATTCCAATTTTTTTGTAAAACATAATTTTCCCAGTTGTTCAATAATGAAATTATTTGATAAATTGATAATTTCTCATTTTTTTATTTTTTTTTGAATTTTAGAATTTTAGAATTTCAGAATTTTAGAATTTTAAAATTTTAGAATTTTAGAATTTTATAATTTCGGAATTTCTGAATTTCGGAATTTCTGAATTTCGGAATTTCTGAATTTCTGAATTTCTGAATTTCTGAATTTCTGAATTTCTGAATTTCTGAATTTCTGAATTTCTGAATTTCTGAATTTCTGAATTTCTGAATTTCTGAATTTCTGAATTTCTGAATTTCTGAATTTCTGAATTTCTGATTTTCTGATTTTCTGAATTTCTGAATTTCTGAATTTCTGAATTTCTGAATTTCTGAATTTCTGAATTTCTGAATTTCTGAATTTCTGAATTTCTG